GATGGGGGCCGTTCCGAGGGGACGGGGCTGCGGCAGTCAGGATGCGGGGGCGGGATGGGGATCCTGTCCCCAGGGATCTTGCATGCACAGCAGAAGGGTAGGCGCTCGGAGATGCGACGGTGTGAAGCTCCAGGGATGTGGGCATCTCGGGTGGAGGGAATGCCGCCTGCAGGGATACAGGACGCTGGGGAGGCGGCAGGCGGGCTGCAGGAGCCGCTGCTCCCCGAGGGTGTGGGTGACCGGGATGCGGGCAGCCTGGGGTGCAGGGGGTGCTGGGTTCTGGGCGCCACTGGGGACACGGGGCCCGCAGCCAGCTCTGCTCCCTCGGTCCGTAAGTGACAACGGGACCGCTGTCGGTGCTGCCCAGCAGAGCACGCCTTTCAGCCGCTCCATCCAGCGCAGCTCCTCTCCAAAAGTTCCTTTCCTAAACGGAACTTGAACGTTTCCACACTTTAGCCCTATGGAAGAGACTAGCTCAGAGGGTCGGCTGTAGAAGAGGACTTCGGAGGTGTCTCTTACTGACTCTTACATGTTGGGGGAGAAACAATTTGTCTTCAGACTTTCTTCTTCCTGCTTGCTTGCCCTCCCTAGCTCCTCTTCGTGCTGCAACCAGTTTGCGAGGGAGATTTCCCCCAGCTGGGAGAGCTCTGAGAGGGGGGAGAGGAGAGGACGTCCTGCTGCCCCAACCCTCTCAGCTTCTGCTGAGAACATACCCAGTGCTCTGGGAAGGGCCCGGACCACGGGATGGCCACGTGGAACCCTGCCTGCTCTACGAGCATCCTTTGTGCAGAGGGATGCTGGGGAGGGCACAGCTGCTGCACCCAGACGGAGCTCGAGCCGTGGCACACAGCGGAAGGCCAGAGATTGGCTCCTGCTTTACGTCATCGGGGAGAAGCAGCAGCATTGAGGTTCTTTTTCTTTTTCTTTTTTTTTTTCTTTTTCTTTTTTTTTTTCCCTCTTCATTTTCATTCTCTTGCCATCTCCGTCCAAAAATAACCCAAGCTTCCACCCCGGGGAGCGCTCCGCATCAGAGCTTTGGCTCCTTCACCCTCCCGTGCATTAGCCTGACAGCTACTAAATGAAGCTATTAGCTCGTGGCACATCATCACCTTTTTTAAAAGCGCGTTTTTCAGAGCATGTGGTGATGTCATTTGACTGCGTGTGGAGCTGCACAGATGCATGGGAGGGCTCGTATCCCTCAGCACAGGGCATTGCCCGTGGGGCTGTGTGTCTCCGTCCCCCTCCCCTGCAAGAGAACCCAGGCAGCTGCTCCTCCTGCCCTTCTGCACATCGCCCAGCAGGATCCCATGGGGAGCATTCCTACAGGACTCAGCAGGCTCCCAGAGGGGGTCTCAGCAAGGTCTCAGAGGTCCTTGAAGACCAAGGAAGTTCCCTGCAGGGTTCCAGGAGTCTCAAGGAAGGGTTCCAGGGGAATCCTGGCTTTCTCAGATGTGCCAGTGCGATCCCAGAAGGGGCCTCAGCAAGGTCCCAGGGGTCCTGGTAGTCCAAGGAAGATCCTGGCAGGGTTCCTGGGGTCCCAGAAGGGGTCAAAGGAAGGTCCCTGCATTACCAGAGGTCCCACAGGGATCCCAGGAGGGGTCTCAGCAAGGTCTGAAGGGTCCTGGTAGTCCAAGGAAGGTTCCTGCAGGGTACCAGAAGTCTCAAGGAAGGGTCCCAGGGGGGTCTTAACTTTCCCAGAGGTCCCATTGGGATCTGAGGAAGGGTCTCAGCAAGGTCCCATGATTCCCAAGAGGTCCAAAGAGAGTTTCAGAAGGGTTCCAAGGCAGAGGTTTCAGGGGATCCCAGGGGTGCTGCCAGCCAACGAGGCTGTGACAGAGCGGCCACACGTGGGCTTATGGCTCAGAGCTTGTCCCTACAGGGAGCCATCACTGCTCTGTCCCTTGGACACAGGCTGTTGGTGGCAATGCGGGGCTGCACCAGGGCAGGATCTGGCCCCTGGGGCATCATCACCAGGCAACAAGGTGAGCGCTGTGCCCAGCCCCAGCCCACTCCCATTGCTCCAACACAACGAGGCCATGCCACTGCCTTTCGGCAGCTCCGAGCGCTGCAGAGTGACTCCAGGCATTTAAAAACACAGCACAAGTTGTATTAAGGTTACACCGAACACTACAGCTTCCCACGGAAGTACTTGATCATGTTCAAAAATATTTAATCCCAGCAATTTTCACATTATTCTTATAAAAACAGACATGTATGAAGGGAAATGAAATGCTTAGTACATTTTTTGGCACTTTTTTTTTTTTTTTTGTCTTTTTTTTT